GTCGGCGGTGATTTTCACAAACTCTTCTGTCTACTTTATTTTTCTGTTTCATTCATCTTAGGGGCCGTTATGGCAGTTGTTCATCATGGCATGGTGTGTAAGTGTGTGCCTATGCGCGCGTGTGCAGTAACAGAATGATCGCGAAAAGTTTGTATTAATCGAAAAGTAGATCTTCAGTCAAAAAAGGTTGCGCACCCCTGCAGTATTGCCTGGGTGGATTAAAGGAGTGTGAGTGAGTCTCAGAGGGACAACAGACATGAATGTTGCTTGAAATGACCTAAAATCAGGATTTTCTTAAATTTAGAAACAAAATATGAGAGAAAACCCCTGGTTAAAAACATTGTTGAGTCTGGGTGGTCTGAAGACTATTAGAACAGGAACAACACGGAAATGATAAGAGAGGTGTTGAGAATGTGTGATCTTTGTAAGAATGGACCACATATTTGGAATATAGTGAATAAGATTGTTCTACATCCATCCATCCATTTTCCAATCCGCTTATCCTCACAAGGGTCGCGGGGGGTGCTGGAGCCTATCCCTGCTGTCTTCGTGCAGTAGGCGGGGACACCCTGAACCGGTTGCCAGCCAATCGCAGGGCACACAGAGACGAACAACCATCCGCATTCTGAGTCACACCTAGGGACAATTTTAAGTGTTCAATCGGCCTGCCATGCATGGTTTCGGAATGCGGGAGGAAACCGGAGTACCTGGAGAAAACCCACGCAGGCCCGGATAGAACATGCAAACTCCACACAGGGAGGCCGGAGCCGGGATCGAACCCACGACCTCTGCACTGTGAGGTCGACGCGCTAACCACTGGACCATCAAGCCAAATACAATGGACCATGTATGCGGTTATCACATCATGTATTTCTAGTCGAAAAAAATTAGGCAGCATACCAATTTCCATTTGTTTCAAGCTACTGTGATGCCATCTGACAGAGAAATAGCCTCATTCTTTAAATGTGTGACATTTTGGTTTGTAAAAACTGTATAGTTCGGTGCTGGTACGTTTTAAGGTCAAGATTTCATGTTATTTTTTCCTTCAGAGAGTTCTCATGCCATCACAATATTTTTTTTCACTGTTCTACAAAAGGTCAAAAGGAGTCTTTGAATGGTTTAAGCTTTACATATATGAGGTTTGTCATTTCCATAGGCTGTAAAAAGAAAAGGCCTCCAAACACGAGCAGAATTGTCATTGTGACTTAGTAACTCATGATTCAAGTCCCGGTCCAATTTGTGGTTACTACACGCCCGCTCAACTCAGGAAAAACGGCAGACGGAAACAACACATCTGTGTCTTGTACAAAGCTGAAACTTTTCATCAGCTGTCAACCTCGAGGGAGGTGAGGAATAAATGGCTTCAATCTATTTCGTAACCAGAATTGTGCTGTGTTGAGGCACGGTTCGTGCAATATGTATTCATCAACGTAAGCTTTCTCACATACTTTAAATACATTTCTGGGTTTGAAGTGACACAGCAGAATAATACTGGACACACATATTGGTGGTCAGTCCCCTCTGGTGACTGCGAATTTGCACAGTGTCACCAAGTAGGTATATTAAAAAAATCAAAAAAAAAGAAAGAAAAATCTGATTACAACTGAGAACCAGCCTGAGACAGTGGCTTTGTGTCGGTGAGTCCGCCTCAGGGTATTCGCTGGGCGGCCGTGAGGTCGTAAGGCATCACCATGGAGGTCAACCAGGTCAGCGCGCTGCCATGGCCGGCTCAGAGTGCCCCATGGCCGGCTCAAATTTTACTGACGGCCCAGGATCGAATCAAGATGTAATTCCACCGAATGGAATTTGAAAGTTGTGACATCATATTTTACCCCATGTATCGAGAATCATATTGAATCGCCTTTTGTGGTGAGAGTAGTTCTGGGTGCACCCCGCTTCTCACCCAATGATAGCTGGGATAGGTTCCAGCATGCCCCGAACTAGATCAAATTATGGAAAAAAGCGACCTAATCGGAGCAAAGTGTACTTAGATATTGAGTATTTTCTTCCTCTTTCTGACAAAATTTGGTGGCTTGTCTAGAAGGAGCGGTACGAGGGGACTACAGGAGCGTGATTTGTGACTTCACACAGTGGAGCAGAGACAAAGGGCTGGTGTTGAATACAGCTAATACACTGCATCATAGGTGTCAAACTCCGGTCCTGGAGGGCCGCTGTCCTGCATGTTTTCCAAGACTCCCTGTTGCAACACACCTGATTCAAATGATCAGATCATCAGCAAGCTCTGCGGAAGCCTGACATTGAACCTGTTCATTTGAATCTGCACAATGAATCGTTGTGGGTTTTGGAAGGCAGAGATCTCAGCAACTGCCCATTCAAATAAGGGGTGGTCACCACATATAAATATCTTCGTGTCCACCTGGAACGCATACTGGACTGGTCGGAACATATAAAAAGCGAAAGAGCAGACTTTTCTTTCTCAGATAGTTAAAATCTTTTGATGTCTGCAATGAGATGCTGTTTCATTTTTTTTAACACTTTTGTGGTCAGTGCTGTATTTTTTTGCTGTGGTGTGCTGGCGATCATGACGGGTATGGAAGTGAACCGCCACGATAAAGTTTTAAGGAAGTGTGTGGCAATGATGGGTAGGAAGTCGCATTTGGTGAGTGGAATGAGGAGGAAGATGAAGTCTGTCCACGGCATCAGCAGCCATCCTCTGCATGACACTGTGTTGGCTCTGAGAAGCAGTCACAGTGACATATTCCTCTCCATGCGCTGCAAGACTGAGAGATTCAGGTGCTCATTTGTACTGGCCACCATTAGACTGGGCAAACGGATCTTGCAACCATTGTAAATAACATTTGCCTTATTTTATTATTATTGTTATTTTTTTAATGTTTACATGCCCCAGGCTTTGTGCCTTCTTGGTTGACGTTGTGCATCGTGTATGAATATACATGTTTCTACTCAAGACCTTGAATTTTCCCGTTGGGGATTTAGAAAGTATCTATCTGTCAATCGATCGATCAATCTTTGAAATGCATTCATTCATTGAACACCACCTGATAAAGATGTGTCACGCACCATCATCTGACACTCTGAAGAAGGCGAAAGACCTCCACCGAAACATGTCATGTAAATAATCTAAAAAAAACCTCCCTGACATAAAGCAACCAGCACGTTAAATTATATATATGAGAAAGAATGAACTTTAATCATTGGTTGTCTATCATCCATTCATCATTCCAGTTCCAAATTATGGGCAATTCTGACAATAACATATTCAGAAAGGCCATGCTACTTATTCCAAACCAAATTATCCTGAAACCCGATAAAAAGACATCAAAGGTTATTTTAAAAAAAACATGTTTGGCTGCACTGTACTTGTTAGAAGGGATTTATTTTTTGAACTGCCCCCAGCCCCCATTAAAAAAAAAAAAAAAAAAGAAAGATTCCTCCATCCATACATTATCCAAACTGCTTCTCATGAGGGTCGCGGGTGTGCTGGAGTCTATCCCAACTGTCATCATGCAATAGGCGGGGTACACCCTTAACTGGTTGCCAGCCAAGCGCAGGGCGCATGTAGACAAGCAACCATTCACACTCACAATCACACCTATGGGCAGTGTTCCATTAACCTACCATGCATATTTTTGTAATGTGGGAGGAAACCGGAGTCCCCGGAGAAAACCCACCAAGGCACGGGGAGGAAGGACAAACTCCACACAGAAAAGCTGAGGCATGAAAATGAACCCCAGACCAATCAGGCATGCTGTGCCGCCTTGCTTAGGTCATGCTGTTCAAGATTTATTTTGCCGGGTCACTGTTGAATTGTCTTACACACCTCACAACTTTCTGCCTTTCGTTCATCGTAGAAGTCTTTACATGCAAAATAATTGACCAAGTCGTCATATGTGAGGCACATATTTATACATTTCCATTAGACTTTTTTCCCCCATGGAAATCTTGACTTTCTCTAACAAAGGGAATGTGTGAAGCATTAAATCAACCGATGATCAACCAGTTTTTTTTGTAAAATAACGAATTACTAGAGAATATATTAATTGTGGCTGAGAAATTGTGCCCCAAAAGCCAGGAAAATTGCACTCTTCATTCATACAATATTGAAACTATGCACACACTCAATCCCTTGAAAGTTTTGTCGGGGTATCAGAGTGAATTTACCAACACACCCTGTGTTGATGGCTGCAAACGAGTTCCGGTTGGATGAAACGTATGCTTATAACTATGGCAATGTCGTCCAGTGGCCAAAGGTAGAATCCTGGTCTGTTATCATGCTTTTTACTGCTGCAAATCCGTGTTGTGGCGTAAGGAAGCCATATGCTAAATTAGCTATATGTTACACATTTGTTGCCATGACTACTGCTTCTTCTACTTCCATTTCTTCAACTGTTGTTTAACGGTTTGCAAATACTTTTGGTTGATTACCACCTCGTTCTTGAGAATACGATAAAGAAGGTAGGCAATGGCGATAATGCATGACTACCTCTTCCATTTTTTAATTTGTTCTTCCATCTCTTATTCCGATTCTTACTTTTTCATGTTCATCTCCTTCTTTTTCCATTTTTTCCTCACTTTATTTTCACAGTTGGCCGTTGCATCCCTGCCACCTTCTTTCCACTTACAGTGATGCACCATAAGTATTCACGAACCACCAAAAGATAGTCAACAGGGTCGTAATCTGGTATTCACGAACCACCAAAAGATAGTCAACAGGGTCTGGGAGTGGGGATTTTGGGTGCCAGTCTGAGCTAAATTTTTAATATATACACGCCGCACCTGAGTATAAGTCACAGGACCAGCCAAACTATGAGAGAAAATGTGACTTACTGTATATTCTGAGAAATAGTACACTGACTTGTTTCAACTGTAAAAACATGGGAAGTCAAAATGGGAAGACTGTGAATTGCAAATTTCCCCAGTGTGGGACACATAAAGCTTATCTTATCTTAATGTTATTGTGTGTTATTTGCCCACTCAGATTTTTGATCTGATCTATGTTATCTGTGTTGTTTGTGCAGACTGGCATGATGCAGGACTAGTTCGAGACATTGAGATTGCAACAGGACAAAACCTAGGTTCTGAAAGACTGGATAAACGGCGCAAAAGAAAGAAGAATAAATACCCCAACCTCAGCAATCTGAAGGACAGCGCCAACACATCACGGGCTCGGCTTGAGAAGCGGATATTCAACAAGTAGGTTATTTTCAGGTCTAATCTCATGATTTAACACTGTCTATGTTACACAGATCGTATGTTGTTTTTTTTCTACTTTTCCTTATTTTCTCAATTTTCCCTCTAGGAGCGCCATGCGCAGAGTTGCTGAGACGATGAATAAAGTTGACAGGAAAAAGCATGAAAAGTTTTCCAACCAATTCAATTATGCCCTCAACTGACCTTCACAGTTATTTTTCATTAGTTTTGTTTATCAATAATTGTACAGTGATCCTTCACCACTTTGCGCTTTAAATTTTGTGGCTTCAGTGTTTTGCGTTTTTTTTTTGTTTTTTTTTCCCAAAAATCAATTGAAAAAGCACAAAAAATACAGCTGTATCGGCACCCATATTGCAAAAAGACGCTTTGTGTCATGTTGATGCGCGAGCGAGGAGGTTTCCCTGCATGCTGAACAAAGGAATGACGTGGCTTCTGGGAGCTTATTGGCTGCGCATCATCGCTAATCTGTTGACTGTCTCGCATGCTGTATCTTAGTGTTGTGTTCATGATAAATTTTTTAGATTAATTAGGCTGCGCTCCAACCCCTTGCCGACGCTGAAGCAATGCTTCCTGGCTGTATGGAAGTGTGTAAAGCCCATTCGTCGTAGATGGCACCATCAACAGGTACACATTGCTTCAACGGTGGCGGCGGGGAGTTCTTGGTTTGCAAGCTTGACCGGTTTACAAGCTTGACCGATTTATTTTGAAGGTTTCCTGACCCGGTCATTAGTTTTTTTTAGACACGTCACAAGGAAGCAGTGACACAGACAGCTCAGACGAAGGCTAAAATGACAACTGAAACTGTCAGCTCAGTAAGAGTTTTTTTCTTCACCAAAAGACCATGCCTCAAAAAAAACAAAATCTGAAACCTATTTCAACTAATAAGAAGACAAGATGAACGTCCTAGCGCAACCATCAGCATCTTTTTCTCCAATTTAAAAATATCAGCTACACTGTCAATGCCTCCAGCAGAAGAGTCTCGCATGAAACCGAAACCCTACGAATCAAGTGAGAGCCTTCGTCTACGCCACCAACACAAGCCTCTTCACCTCTCTAAGAAGGCAATGTTGATGAATGTTAATTACTGTCGAAGGTGTTATAATTAAAGATTTAAGTAAATACGTGTACTGTTGTAATCTTTGTCTCAAATATCTAAAGCAGTGGTCCAACCCGCGGCTCGCGAGCCACATGCGGCTCTTGGGCTGGTTCAATGCGGCTCCCGGGCTTTCACATGACAAGCATTGAAACGCCACCGCGGTGGCACTGACATTCAAACAATGGCGCTATGTACAGCAGAATTTACGATGTCAGCCAGTCGGATGACAACTGAATCACCGCGCCTGCGCAAACAACGGTGCTAAGCTAGTCAGTGAATTACCTCTGATTTTAAGGCAGGGGTGCCCAATACGTCAAGCGGAGGCAGCAGACTGGTCCCAAGTCGACCGCGAGGGTTGAGAGGAGGAAATGAGGGGGGGAAAAAAATTTGTGTGTCTATTTTTCAATTTCCTTTGTGTTTGGTGACGTTCCGGCTGTCGCTCATCTCGGCATGCGTGCGTGCGTGAATATGCGCACGTGTGTGTGGTTGGGTGCCCGCATGTTGTGTGCGTGTCTGTGTACATGCTTGCACGTGCGCATATGCTTGCACGTGCGCGATCGGGTCGATCGCGAGAGGTTCGTCACTTCAAAAGTTGATCTTCGGTCAAATACACTCACCGGCCACTTTATTAGGAATACCTGTCCATCGTTAACACTTTTTTCTAATCAGCCAATCACATGGCGGCAACTCAGTGCATTTAGGCGTGTAGACATGGTCAAGACAATCTCCTGCAGTTCAAACCGAGCATCAGTATGGGGAAGAAAGGTGATTTGAATGGCTTTGAACATGGCATGGTTGTTGGTGCCAGAAGGGCTGGTCTGAGTATTTCAGAAACTGCTGATCTACTGGGATTTTCATGCACAACCATCTCTAGGGTTTACAGAGAATGGTCCGAAAAAGAAAAAAATATCCAGTGAGCGGCAGTTCTGTGGGCGGAAATGCCTTGTTGATGCCAGAGGTCAGAGGAGAATGGCCAGACTGGTTCGAGCTGATAGAAAGGCAACAGTGACTCAAATAACCACCCGTTACAACCAAGGTAGGCAGAAGAGCATCTCTGAACGCACAGTACGTCGAACTTTGAGGCAGATGGGCTACAGCAGCAGAAGACCACGCCGGGTGCCACTCCTTTCAGCTAAGAACAGGAAACTGAGACTACAATTTGCACAAGCTCATCGAAATTGGACAATAGAAGATTGGAAAAACGTTGCCTGGTCTGATGAGTCTCGATTTCTGCTGCGACATTCGGATGGTAGGGTCAGAATTTGGCGTCAACAACATGAAAGCATGGATCCATCCTGCCTTGTAT